TGCGTGGCAGCCAATTGCTGATCTCTGCAGAGCTGTACAATGTAAGTAAATGTCCTACTGAAGTCAAATCAAAATGCCACTGAATTGAATGCTAGCACTTAATTGTATCATCAAAATAACCTGTATTTTGACTTGTACAATACTGGGAGAGAAGAATCTGAACACCAGTGTACTTTTTTTCACACCAATTTTTATCCTCTAGTTTTCTAGTGGTCACTTTTGATCCTTTTTGATGTACTTCTACAATCTTACCTCAAGTTTATTAAACATGCAACAAGAGGAAAATGTAACTTAATCTGTTGAACACACAGACGTCATGAAAATTAATGAGGTGTAAAGTTACACGAAAGACTTTGTCATTGTAGCATTTTTAGACCAACATGGTACCAGCGGGCTAAAGAATAATTCTGCAACATGTCCTCTATATTAAATCAAAGAATGCTTTAAAAGTCTAAATCATGGTTTTGAAGATGAAGCCACTATTTTATCCTGTCAGGCTATAATCTTGCTTCCCCCAAAAAAACGTTTTTCTTCCACCCACATTTTTTCCCTCAAATGCTACAAGTTTATTCTCTTGGCTTGGTGTCTCTTGTCATTTATCCCTCAACAAGTAGATATGTATCAGTGAAATCACCTGGTCTGGAGATGCCACTTCTCTCTGCCCTTTCTACAGTTCAATTTGAAGCAAGGAGCCTGGTCTGTGGCAGGCAAGAATTAAATGTGGGTTGGCAAGAGTTCACTGTGGACCCCAGTGTGTGGTGGAATAGTACTGGAGTTTAACCAGCTTCACCCACATGTTTGTCAGTAAAGATGACACTTATTTTGCTTAAGGTGCAGGTCATGAATATCACAAGTGTTATCATTCTTGAATCTGTGGTCTGAAACTTCACATGGAGACTCACCTGTCTTGAATGATACTCCAGTATAGTGTGGTGAGTACTGTATTGGTGGTGGTGCAGTCCTTTTGATGAGATCTTAAATGGGTCCAATCTACCCATCTATCTAAGATGTACATCAGAAAGAGGAGGGAGCCAAGGATGAATCCTTGGGGTACTCCGCAGGTGACCGGGTGAGAGTGGGAGAAGCCATTTGTGCAGATGTACTGCTGGTACTTCGTGAGGTAGGACTCGAACCAGGTGAGTGCGGTCCCACTGAGGTGGATGACGGAGGAAAAGCGGTGGAGGAGGATGGCGTGATCGACTGTGTCGAACGTGGCAGAGAGGTCCAGGAAGACGAGGCGGAGGGAGCCCTGGTCACAGATAGAGAGGATGTCGCGTGTGACTTTCACAAGCGCAGTCTCTGTACTGTGGGCGGAAACCGGACTGGAGGGGTTCGAAGAGGGAGTGGGAGGAGAGGTGTGCGAGGAGTTGGTTGGCAACAACGCGTTCTAGAACTTTTGAGAGGAAGGGCAAGTTAGAAATAGGGTGGTAGTAGCTGGGGGTTGAGGGATCTAGGGAGGGTTTTTTCAGGAGGGGGGGGGTGTAACAAATGCAAGGAAATTAAATCCTCACTCTTCGGGGGCTGGGAATCGTCCTTGTTGAGGTCGCCTGAGAAATGCTAATTGCGTGCAGTTGACTGCCGCGTTTTGCCCACACAATACACAGTCAATCCACTTTATAATGCATTCTGTGAATCGCTTTGAGACGTCTCGACCATGTGATAAGGTGCTGTATCAAGTGCAAGGATTATTATTATTATTATTATTATTATAACGCCTCTCCGGCTTCAACGGAGAGCCTCGAAAAATCAGCAGTCTCCAATTTGTATCAGCAATGCTGGCCTTGTGAAGCAGAGGGAGATGGGGGGGGGGGGAGCAGAGGGAGATGGGGGGGGGGGGGGGGGGGGGGAGCAGAGGGAGATGGGGGGGGGGAGCAGAGGGAGATGGGGGGGGGAGCAGAGGGAGATGGGGGGGGGAGCAGAGGGAGATGGGGGGGGGAGCAGAGGGAGATGGGGGGGGGGAGCAGAGGGAGATGGTGGGGGGGAGCAGAGGGAGATGGGGGGGGGAGCAGAGGGAGATGGGGGGGGGAGTGTGCGCCCACTCTCTGATCGCGGTCTTTGCGCTTCGTTTACAAATTCGCTCCGGCGGAGAATTCAAATTTGGCGCCCCCGGGGGGGGGGGCTCCGCGGAGCGCACGTCAGTACGTCATCACGTCAGGTCCTCACGTCACTGTCGGCGGGCAGGAAGATGGCGGCGCCCAGGGAGGCGGTGTGTGCGCTGGGAGCGCGGTTACTCGCGCTGGGCCCGGACAGCCGGGGAGGAGACCCGGCACCGGACACCCTGACACCCATCCAGAGCTTAACCGGTGCCTTCAGGGAGCGGCGCGGCAGGTGAGAGAGGCCAACGGGGAGCGCAGGAAACACGAGAGACTCCATACTCCCTCTCCCCCACCCGCCACGGGACAGGGCTCAGGTGTCTTCTCCCCCCCCCCCCACCACAGGCTCAAATGTCTCCCCCGCCCCACGGGACAGGGCTCAGGTGTCTTCTCTCCCCCCCCCCACAGGCTCAAATGTCTCCCCCGCCCCACGGGACAGGGCTCAGGTGTCTTGCTCCGCCCCCGAGGCTCAGACGTCTGATTTCCCCCCTACGGGACAGGGCTTAGGTGTCCGTCCCCCCCAGACACAGGCTCAGATGTCTGATCCCCCCCACCCCCGGGCAGCCTCAGGACGGGCTCATGTGTCTACAACATCCACACTCCCCAATACTACAATGTAGTATTGAGTGTCAGTCTCGGCCACACGAGTGCAAAGTCCTGAGGTGGGATTTGAACCCCCAACCCTTTGACTCAGAGACAAGAGTGCAATCACCTGAGGATGGTTAATAAACTGGTGCAATCGACGGAAATGTGTTGAAATGGCCTCCTTCTCTTGCTGTTTCCAGATGTTCACATGACAAGACAGTGAGTAGTGTTGGTCCTGTTTTCAGTTAACCTCCAAACAGCTCATGTCCCATCAGGAGTCATTGGACAGGAAAGTGAATCAAAAATGCTGTCTTTTTTTTGGCCTCTCCCCAGTCTATTGTGACTGATAACCATTAAAGTACCCTTTCCCTTGCATGACTGAGATAGGGTATCTAAGCACAAATGGTTGATCAAAACCTAGGGCCTGTACAGCTTAACTGCTTGTTGCATATACTTATACCCTGGGCCAACTGAAAAGTGCAGCCACACTTTTTCCGCGGAATTCGCTACAAATTCCCTCCTCGCTACACACCTGTAAAAACACAGTGCCCCAGGCCTCTGCGCGTTGTTTGCTCAATGCTGCTACTGTGGGCGGAGCGGCTCCTGTCGCACGTGTCCGGTGCAGGGAGAGTTGGGATCACGGAAGGGGCGTGAGTGGGAAATCAGCTTCGCCCGCTAGTGGATGAACCATGATAGAAATACCAGCTGTGTGACACTACTGCCATCTTATTTGCCCGGCCTAAACTGAACTCCCGAGATGAATTCTTGGTAAGTGCTGTACTATTCAAAATTAAAATTTTTAGTATTTTAAACATGACTACATTTTCAGGAAATATACACCTATAGTTTGTAGTCAGGGGTGTACAATACAAATATGTCCAAACGTTTTTGTAACTCCCGTGAGGAAGCCAAGGGGCAACACGTCTCATTTTCAGGCTGTCCCTCAGATAGAATTATACTCTATCCAGATGACCATTATGAAGACGGTGGGCACTGGTTTTGTCGCATTTGCTAACACACAATTGATCATGTTCGCAAGTAACCATTGATGAGCACATGCAATCTCGGAAACTTTGTGAACACAAGGCAGTGGCAGTAAAGAAAATAAAGCAAAATACATTTGATATAATATTAAATGAAAATGCATCATTATTTGCTTTCATTTTACTATTGAAAGAAAATCTTAATTCTTATAATTACAAAAGTTAATCTCCCTCCTTTTGGATTGAATTTTTTTGACATTTTTTGCCCACAACGTAGTCTTTACAGTATATTCTGAAATGCTTTGAGATGTCTCGAAGATGTGATAAGGTGCTATATCAAATGTAAGGATTATTATTTTAAAAGCGCACAAAGCAACCACAGCAAACACAAACAAATAGACATAACTACAAATGCATCATGAAGATCAATTTTTATTTTTTCCTTTCTAGATGGAACTGGACCTTAAAGCCACCTTGTTTTGACAACCTGCATCTCTAGAATCATTGCATCATCTACGGAGTGGAAAGAATTCATATTGGACTTTGTGAGGTGTTTGACTAGAGCAGACATACCACTTGAAAAAGCTCCTGCCTTCCAAGAGTTTCTATGCAAGCACACAAAACAGGGAGGGATTATTCCAACACCATCAAAGCTTTGTAATACATACTTGGAAAGAGTTTATTCCTGAGCATGAAGCATTGTTGAAAAGACATGTTGACGACACAGATGTGTACTTGTTCCTGGATGAGACCACTGATTCCAGCGGGTGCAGTGTTCTGTCAGTGCTGGCACAGCCACTGCAGAACGTTGAGGAGAATCCTTTTCTTATTGGAGTAAAATTCTTGCAACGAGAGAACAACGCCACTGTCACAAGCTCTTCTACGAATCTTAAATGTAAAACAGGTTAAATTTGACTGCTTGCAGTTGCCACAGACAGTGCAAGCTACATGATCAAAGCATTTAACACCATTCCATCGGAATTGTTTCCAAATGCAATCCATATTACATGCATAGTGGAGTCCTAAAGCTTAGTGGTTAGAGCACTCGCCTCGCAAGCCAGAGTCCAGGGTTTGTTTCCCGGCAGGGCAAAATGTTGGGCAAGTTTACTTACTCCACATACCTCTGTTCTCCTAGCAGTAAGTAGGAATCCGATTGTAAATCGACTGGTGGATCGCTTTTCCGGGGATAATAATCCTTCAAAAATAAATTGGTCACTCAATCCACGATTGTTTGTGGGACACTGCAGTCCCACAGTTGGCTGCCACGTTTCACCCCCAAAATATACAGTCAATTCACTTTACAGAATATTCTGTGATGCACTTTGAGATGTCACAAAGACTTGATCAAATGCAAGGATTATTATTATTGCACATCTTCTGAACTTGATTTTGGAAATTTATCCTGTTATACTGGAGGACTTAAACACAGTGGTTGCTATGGTCAAGAAAGTATTCTGCCAAAGTCCAATGTGCTGGCAATCAATACTTGGAACTTATGGAGGCGAAGGATGGAATTGAACCATAGATGCCAGTCTTTGTTGTTCAGATGTGTTGGTGCTCCTGGGTGAAGGCTGTTGAATATTTGGATGAGTACTTGTCTGTCTTAGCAGAATTTCTTCAATGAACTGCATCAGAGGCCTTAGCAGTGAAACAAAAATGAAAAAGCTCTTGAACAATAACGCTGCAGAGATGCAAGCCCAAACAACTTTTGTGACAGAGCACTCATTTGAACTCACAAAACTTACTGAAGAATGTCAGGTAACAGCTGTGCCTCAGGGCACAATCTGTACTTACATTCGTTTATTGATTTCTGTGCCACTGCTGGAGTGTAGGAGTACAGACCAAAGACAGTGCAAACATTGGCAGCCTATTCTGAGAGTGAGGGAGAGGCTTGTGTCAACCTTTTCCAGAGAATCATGCAAGACAGAAGTGAAAGGTTAGGACTGATTTTGAAAAAGCACCCATCAATTGCTAACTGCAAAACAGCTCGTGTTTTTGATCCTCACCAGCTAGTAACACTGGATGCAAAACAAGACTTGTGATTCTTGCCCCTTCCGCTGTATCAAACTTTGAATGGCATGCCTACAAAGCAGCTGCAGAAATTATCCCAGCTGAAAAGATAATAGCAGTCTGGTGGAAAGCTCAACCTGAGCCACTTGTGAAACCTGCTAAAATTGCAAAAAGGTACATTTGGCTACCAGCGAGCACTGCTGACATGGAAAGCTCATTTTCTGTTTGTGCAGACGTGTTGAAAGACAATAGACAAAACCTAACACAAGACAGTGTAAAGATTCTTCTCATGTTAAAAATTAACGAGCACTAAACATTTGGCTGAGAATTTTCAGTTTGTTTCTGTGAAAATTTGAGTTAGAAAATTTTAGTTTCTCTGCAAACTGTTCAAACTGTAGTTTTGCATCTTTTGAAAGGTGTTATGTTCTGGTTTTTGTTGAAGAAAACATTAATAAATTGTTTTTTTCCCAACAATCTAGTATGATGTGTTATTTCTTCATGTTTAGCTTTTAACAATAACGTGAAAAAAAAATTCCTTGCATTTGACAAGCGTCTTATCAGTCTTCGAGACATCTCAGCACTTCACACAATATACTGTCAAGTGAATTGACTATATTTTGTGGGCGAAAAGCGGTAACCAGTTGCACACAGCAGTGTCTTACAAACAGTTGTGGATTGAGTGACCAATTTATTATTTTTTTGGAAGGAATTATTACCCTGGAAAAGTGATCCACCAATCGACTAACAGCCAGGTTCCTACTTACTGCTAGGTGAACAGAGGCATGTGGAGTAAGGAAACTTGCCCAACATTTTGCCCTGCTGGGAATCGAACCAAGTCTTGCTTGTGAGGAGAGCGCTCTAACCACTGAACTACAGGACTCCACTGTAGGTTAGCAGCAAAATGCGTCTCAATTGCACCCGTCAACCCTCCTCAATTTTATCAAGTTTCTCCCCAAGTTTCCACGAAATTTGTCAAATGCCCTGCAATTTTTGGCAAACATTTCTGCAATTTTCTATTGGCCCTGCTTATACCCTTGGTTCAGCAGAAATAACTTTGGAGGCAGGAGTGGGAAATCTGGGGACAATCCCTCTAAAGAGAAGTCCATTGCTGTGCGTAATATACATTTGCTGCTGACAAAGGGTATGTTCACAGTGATACAATGTTCTTGGGTCCCAAGACATGAGCTGAACAATATAATGCCAGATATGTGTGAATTGCTCTCTTTAACCTAATACAGACTGTCACTGATTGTTTTCCACAGTACTGTATATAATTGTGCTGATTTTTTTTATCTTTTACTTTGAAGGGAGGAGGCAACACAATGTGTATTTGAAAGTCTTAAACACATTCTGAAGATACAGTTGACTGAGATGGAGCTGTTCACTGAAGATCCAAATGATAATAGAAATGAGCAACTTGCAGCTCGTTTGCAGTTGAGTGCTGAATGCTTCCGCTGTCTCCGAAATGCTTGCGTGCAATGTGGCAAGAACCAGAATCTCATAAGGCAAGCAAAACTTCCTTTGGCCTTTCTGTTAAGGTTTCTCACAATGAGGGCAGTGGCATATTGTGTTGGAGCATAAGAACATATGAATATAAGAAATTCTAGACAAAAAAAGATCAGTTCGCCTTCCACCTTCCTGGCGGTCGCCTGCACATATGTCCCGAACTACCCATGTACTATATCCCATAATGTTATTTCCTGAAAGAAAACTATCTAATCTGTATTTGAAAGAATTCCACTTCCTCCCTCAACCGTCTCCCTGGGGAGCCTGTTCCACAGATTCACTATTCACGCACTGAAATAGTGTTTTGTGTAGATTTGTTCTGAATTTACACCACTTCAATCACAGGCCATGTCCTCTGGTTTCACTATTCTGGACAAGTTGAAACAGCCTGTCATGATCTATATTGTTTTTCCCCTTTAGAATCTTAAAGACAGTAATCATGTCACCTCTCCATCTTCTCTTCCAGCGTGAATATGCCCAATTTATTTAGTCACTCCTCATAGTCCAGTCCTTCCATTCCCTCATTCATTTTGGTTAACCTCCTCTGTATCTTCTCGATTTCTCCAATATCCTTTTTGTACTGCGGTGACCAGAACTGTACACAGTACTCTAAGTATGGCCTCATCAATGATTTATACAGTGGCTGGATTACCCCACTATTTCAGTTTGCTATTGATCTTTTGATACATTCCAACATCTGGTTTGCTTTACTCACTGTCACAGAGCATTGTTGGGAGAGCTTCAATTTATTGTCCTGCAGGAGTCCTGTAGCTCAGTGGTTAGAGCACTTGCCTCGCAAGCGAGAGACCGCGTTTTGATTCCACGATTGTTTGTGGGACACTGCTGTGCGCAATTGGCTGCCACGTTTTGCTCACAAAATATACTGTCAATTCACTTTACTGTATATTCTGTGAAGCGCTTTGAGACGTCTAGAAGCCGTGAAAAGCGCTATATCAAATGCAAGGATTATTTATTATTGTTGTCAATCAGGACCCCAGGTCCTTTTCATTTTCCATACATATTATTTTCCTTCCTTTCAAATAATAGTCCCAGGATTTTTTGTCCCCATGTGAAATACTTTATATTTCTCCACATTGAATTTAATCTGCCACTGATCTGCCAAATTCCCAGGTATGTTCAAATCCTCCTGTAACCTATCTTGTTCAGCTTCGCAATCTACCACCTTCAGTAGCTTGATATCATCTGCAAACTTAGCTACTGTGCTCACGACCCTTGGTTCCAGATCATTTATAAAAATATTAAACAAAAGGTCACCAAACAGACCCTTATGGAACTCCACTGGTAACATTTTCCCAGTCTGATGACATTCCCTGTACCACCACCCTCTTGGCTCTCCCTGTCAACCAGTAGCATATCCATTTGTAATATACCTCCACTGATTCCCGCTTTCTTTACTTTCAGTATCAGCCTCTCAAGAGGAACTGTATCAAAGGCGTTACTGAAATCCAGATATTCAACATCCACAGCCTTATCCTTATCAAGCTTCCTTGTCACACCATCAAAGAAAATCAATAAATTAAATTGGCAATACCTCCCCTTCATAAATCCATATTGGCTATCATTTATGATTTTATTTCTGTCCAGATGCTCCATGATTTTATCCTCAATAAGAGTTTCCATACTTTTACCTACAATGGACATCAAACTTACTTGGTCTGTAGTTTAGTATCAATGAGATACGTATGTTATACTGCTCATGTTATATATGCTATGTTATAAAAAACTCAACTGAGGTTAGGGATAACAGCTGCAGGAAGGTATTACCTGGATGCAGTGTTTGTGCTTATATATCTGGAACCTGGTATCCACTTGATTGGTGTGCAGAGATTAGCAGCTGTTGTCCAAGCTGTACACTTCCAACTAATGCAGCCATTGCTCAGGGTGTGTGTATTGGAGCTGTGGGCAGGAAGATGGTGGCATGAGTTATGCTGTTCACCAATAAGCTGATGTCCAGATCTGGCTGGACCTTATCAAAACTTACCTCTCCGCCCTTACTTCCGCTAAATTGTCCTTCTACTCCCAAGAGAATTTTGGAGGCCAAGGACAACCCCAAGCTCCTCTTCGCCATCACCAACAGGCTCTTCTGCCCACCCTCTCACACCTCCCCCATCCTCTTTGCCAACGGCAGCTGCGAGGAGATGCTGGACTTCCTCGAAACCAAAGTCGAGGGGATCCGCTCAGCTGCTTCTGCCCTTCCGACGACTACCCCCTCCCCATTTTCCCCCTCCCACCCCGGCCCCTAATCACCCCTCCCTCCACACCATTGAACCTGCCTCCCACTCCTCTCTCACCACCACCACCATAACTCACATGAAACCGACCACCTGCTCCCTCGACCCCAACCCTACCCCTCTCCTTACCTCCCAGCTCCACCTCCTTAGCCCCTTGCTCACAGACATCATAAACTTTTCCCTGTTCACTGGCACAGTTTCCCCCCTTTAAAAACTGCCATTTTCACTCGTATCCTAAAAAAAACTCACTGCACCCATCCCTGCTCTCAAATTACCACCCCTTCTCTAACCTCTCTTTCCTTTCCAAGGTCCTGGTACGTGTCGTTGCTTCCTCTTTCCTCTCCTGCCACTCTCTTCACAAGCCCCTCCAGTCGGGTTTCCGTACCCCCCAAAGCACAGAAACAGCGTTGGTCAAACTGACAAATTACATTTTGTCAATCTGTGACCAGATCTCCCTCTGCCTCCTCATCCTCCTTGACCTCTCTGCTGCCTTCGATACCGTTAACCACTCTATCCTCCTTCACCACCTCTCCTCTGACCTCATCATTCATGGTTCCGTCCTTGACTAATTCAGATTCTACCTCTTACACCATGTCCACTTCATCTCCACAAACGGCTTCTCCTCTAGCCCCCTCACCGTCTTGTGCGGCGTTCCTCAGGGCTCTGTCCTCGCTCCCCTCCTCTTCAATATCCATATCCTCAACTATCCTTTCTACTTCACATGCGCCCATGATCCGCTCTGCCTTCCCCCACCTCTGCAACATCGCCCGGCTCCACCACTGTCTCACAGCGCAGGCCGCTGAGACTCTTGTACACGCATTCATAACATCCAGCTCGACTACACAAACTCCTTGCTTGTCGGCCTCCCCAACTCCTCCCTCTATAGGCTGCAGATCATCCAGAACTCTGTAGCCCGTGTCCTCCCGCACCAGGCTTCGTGACCCTATCACCCCCTTAACCACAGAATGTCAGGATCAAGTCAAGACAGTTTTAGTTGTCCGATTCCTGATCCAGGCGAGTCCACAGTCTGATGACAGCAGCCATCCTGGCTCATCGGCAAGATTTGGAGGAACAGAATATTCTAACTAAGGCATTACAACTGAGCTCTCTCTTGCCCTTACCTACTGTTAACAAATGCTGCCTTAACAGCAGTGTTCTTCAGATAACAATCCATGGAACTTTGGGTTGAGATCGGGAAATGTATCGTACAGTATGGTTAGTGCCTTTCATGTTGGGAGGACGTCCCAAGGCGCTGGACAGTCAGGGATTTGGTTGGGACCAGGGAGTGTAGAAGGACGGCCAAAGGCGCGGTTGAAGAGGAGGGTCTTGAGATAATCCAAAATCAAAAGTAGGGCTTTCTCTGTTCATCCCAGCTTTCAAATTTCACCAGCCAAATCAACTTCTGAGATGATGTGGGGCATTTGGTTCTATGGTTTCCCACTGAGCGTATTTCTGTCGGGCTGAGGGGAGATGGAAGGTTTTACAACATGAGTGTTGGGGGCTTCTTCATAGGGAGGAAGTTAGAATATGTGATTAAATTTCACCACCATAACTCATTGCTTCTAGTATCGGTAGCTGCATTTTGAGAGGTTTGTCTGGCTGGCTTTATGGCCTGGGTAATGCTGTGCAGATGAAGGGCGAAGAGATGAAAGGAGGATAAAGAAGGTACAAGTACAAATAAAGGTGATGGAGTGGTGAGGCTGACCTCAGCCTGCTGGCACACAACAGAATACTACTTATAACGTAAACAGTCATGCTATAGAAACAATAATCCAGATCATTTTGCATTTGTAAACCACTTGGAGCTTTATTTTTACAAAAGCAACTTGCATTTATAGAGCGCTCTTTATTTATGTGGGACAGTGTCTCGGAGAGCTTATATTTTTAGTGACACATAACCATTCCTTCTGTATAAACCTGTACAGAGAGTATTGGTAGTTGACAAATAGTTAAAAGAAAAGCAAGGAGAATTGACCAACATCACTGAGGCTTTTTAATCCCTCGATAGCCCCTGAGGAGTAGGCCAATTCTCATTTGCAATAAAAGTTTGGGAGACTACAGCAAACTCCTGATCCTAGGAGGGCATTCACATAAACCCCAACATGGTACTTGGATGAAAATAATGACCCCCTTGCAACAGACAGATACAATTTTTTATAATAGTTCAGCACAAAAATGCAGTCTCTTCTGCTGGCGCACAGAAGGTGCTTTGCTTTCAGGCTTTGTGGCTGACATTGAAGATGCACGATGACATCTACTCTGGAACATTATGTTGTGTAGTAGTAATTGATGCAGAATTCTTGGTATGTACTTCACAGTGCATTGCTGGGAAATAACACTTAGATGCATCAAGTTTCTTAAAGAGGATTCATTCCCCCCTCAGGAAGCTTTTGCCCTGTGAACCATGAAATCCTGAAAGTTCTTTGGTTCACTGGGAAAAGCATTCTGAGCGGGAAACGCTGGCGCTGATACTTTACTTGGAATCGGCTGCACTGTGACCGTGGGTTTCAGGATTTCACTTCTGAAGGGATGCATACCACCCTGAGCCTCTTTGTTGCACCAGATTCTCGCTAGCAGCAATCAATTGTAAATAATCTTTGTATTTCAGTTTCAGTGGCCAATTTGAGTAACTCCTTATCATGTACCATTTCATGAAATATAACTGGAAACCCACGAGATATGAGCTGCCTTCTTGAATGTGGTCCGGCTGAAAATGGCGGAATGGTTATCATAGACATTCCAACAGC